TTGTTTACTTTAGCCAACTACCTAGAATATAGGCAGCAAAAACCATTGTTACTTTAGTCCAACTACCTAGAATATAGGCAGCAAAAACCATTGTTACTTTAGTCCAACTACCTAGAATATAGGCAGTAAAAACTATTGTTACTTTAGTCGTAAAAGTCCTATTTATTTTCATTAAAGACACCTTTGGTATCCTTGACATAATTTCCGGTCTCCTAAGTTTGTGTTTATATCTTGGAATTATAACAGGAAGTCATATTTTTTTATCTGATGGACGTCACTTTGTCGCTGAAATTGAACTTGGTATAAATGATGTCAGTATATGATAAAGTATCATAAAACTTTTAACATAGTGAAAAATATAGTTAATGATTAAAAACAGTCAATAAGTACCATCTGTTGTTTTTAGAAAATCAAAAATTCGAATAAAAGCTTCATAATAAGACTTTCTACATAGTACTTCAAATAAGTGTCAGCATCTTCAGTTCTTGGTAAGCTAATGTAATGTTTATCAAACAGTCTGATCATACAGTATATCTCTTCTCAGGCTTTTGGAACCAATCCGCACTGTCATATTTATAAAGTTGATAATTTTCAAGCTTTTTTACAATTCTCTTTATAGGTAACGTTTCATGAACAAGTCCCAAATCAGTTAACTTCATTTCCCTATCACACCTTACTAACTGCTTGGTTTGTGGCGTCTAGTTGGGCACAGCGAGTTGAAGGGGAATTAGGTACTACGCTGTCCTCTACGCCATCGGCGTTAGGAGCTCTTGCTGTCGCCGATATGGAAGGCTGGCGTTTGGAGAGACGGACAAACCTGTCCTTTCGTACAAACTCCTCGTAGAGATGAGATAATCGGGATTCGTATCGCTCTGTTTTTATGTATTTCACCATCACTACTATTAGTCCTAAGGCGTACAATAGAAGTACAACGACAACATAAATTATAGCGTTTGATTGGCTGTTAGCATGCATCTCCAAGATAGCCTTATGGTCAGGAGATAAGTTGGTGAGCTGTCCAGTTGTGGTCGTGTTCTCTGTGTACTTGTCACGTGACTCCTCCATTATAGGCTCAACATAAGATCTAAAGATGCCTGAAAGGAACAAAAGGAAGTAAATCAAAACAATTTTTTTCCTTTACCCTAATATCTTAAACAAACTTTAGAATAACATGAACGAAGTTCTGAGAAGATACGATAACCAGTTAATATGTACAGAAACTATGTGCGACTGTTTGGAAATTATCGCATGACTATACATATATATGGGCCTAATTACAATAAGGTTAATAGTGTTTACCTGTTTTCACATAAGACGTTACGTGTGGAAAATTATGACAAACCAGCTTACTATGGTATTTGAAATACAACTATCATTGACTGAGTTTCCCGGAAAAAAATGTTTTATATATATTAGAAAAGGTATCCGGTAATATCGGACTCAAAATGTAAAGTTGTGTTGTAAATTCAACTCAAGCATACGTCTATGTAAAGATACCCATGCTACGCGCGACATCAAACGTCACTTTCGTTTGGTGTCGTCTTCACGCATTTTACTACTGATCTTGTCCCTCAGTTGGGCTTTCTTTCATAGCATTAAGGCAGTAAAATTGACATGGCTGCCAAATCCGAATTGGAGGAAGAGGTCAACCTAGCACCTGATCCTTCCAGGTCCCGATCAAGAGAGTCCATTCCATTCTTTATACATTTAAGCTCGAGCTTTCGGGGTCCACCTGGATTGATTTCAGACAGTTTGTCACATCAGCTTCTAAACACCAGAGAGACATGCGAACAACTTTCTTTTACATACTAGCTGACGTATCTGCTCAACGCACGAGGACGACATTGGGAACGTGAAGGATGACATAAGGTGGTCAGTTCCGAACGCCGGCCCCTATGTCAACCCAACGGGGGGCTCCTGAGGATACATGCGAGGCTCGGTGACAATCGTTCCAGCTGGTCCCCAATTAAAAGCGGACACACGCACACGGACGTTTGTAGGAAATTGATTTAAATGTCTAGATTCAGCATAAAACACACGCTTCCGTTACGTTCCTATAAAAGCATTAAGAAACATTTCAGCTTTAAAAGACTATATTATTGATTACATAGCGAGCACATCTTCACCACACAGCAATATATTGGAATCTTATACATTTTACCACTTTCCGTATCTTCTTCATTATCGGTTTGTTTGTACAAATTTCGTGTAAGCTCACACCAAAGTAAAGTAATGTAAATACATAAAAAGAAAAAAAAATGCAACGTTTTTAGTTTTTGTTTGTAATTAAGCACAAAGCTACACAATGGGCTATCTGTGCTCTGCCCATAACGGGTATCGAAACCCGGATTCTAGCGTTGTAAGTCCGCAGACATACCGCTGTGCCACTAGGAGGCTTTACTGTTTGTTTGTAGTTAAGCACAAAGCTACACAATGGGCTATTTGTGCTCTGCCCACCACGGGTGTCGAAACCCGGTTTCTATCATTGTAAGTTCGCAGACATACCGCTGTGCCACTAGGAGGCTTTACTCTTTGTTTGTAGTTAAGCACAAAGCTAGACAATGGGCTATTTGTGCTCTGCCCACCACGGGTATCGAAAACCGGTTTCTATCATTGTAAGTTCGCAGACATACCGCTGTGCCACTAGGAGGTTTTATTGTTTGTTTGTGATTAAGCACAAAGCTACACAATGGGCTATCTGTGCTCTGCCCACCACGGGTATCGAAACCCCAATTCTAGTGTTGTAAGTCCGCAGACAACCCGCTGTGCCACTGGGGGAGGGGGCGTTTTTAGTTAAAAAGAAATACTTAACTTCAATTACTTGAAACATTTTTTTAAAGGAAGTAAATACGTAACTTCCGGATTATAGAATAGAAACTTCCGGATTATAGATTATAGAATAATTCAAATAGTGGGATATGACAGTTACTCCAAAAGCTCACCAACACTTCAAAGTGCGGAGCATATTTTGGTGTCAACGAGACTCGAACCATGAATAATTAAATTCACAGTCCAATCATGCTATTTACTACGATCTTTTGATCCATTATAAAAAAACTAACTTACATTATTTTTTCTATAATTCTTCTTTTGAAAATCACATTATTATCATGTACCTATATGCACTTCGTTCAAAATATTCAAAATGAACGTTATGTGTTTTTTATAGTTTTATTATAAGTTATTTTACTATAAGTTAAGTTATTTTACACATGCATTCATATACACCATAAGTTCTGTATACTTTGAACACAATTTGAATTTGAAATGTATCAATAAAATATTGTTACGACAGCGGAAGTCACGTGACGGTAGTAACAGATCATGATATTCTCCAAGGTTCGTGAATGTTCGAGTGTTTACTAGATGTGCGGTATTCTT